AGTCGGACGCTCAACCAACTGAGCCACCCAGGCGCCCCTCAAGAGTCAGATGCTTAACTAACTGAGCCACCAAGGAGCCCCCTGTTGCCCTTTTAGAACCACAATCACCTCTCTTTCTCGCCACCCCCCCATCCCTGTTTCCTGACAATACTAATATGCTCTCCATCTCTGGTTTTGTCATTTCCAGAAAGTTATATAAATGGAATCATACGATATGTAACTTTCTGGGATATGTAACTTTCTGGAATCTGTTCTTCCTCAAGATCCATTCATGTTGTGTGTATCAAAGTAGTTTCTTTTTGTAACTGAACGGTACTCCTTGGTATGGGTGTAGCACAGTTTGTTTAACCATGCTGTATGGTTGAAGGACATCCGGAATGTTCATGTATAAATTTTTGTGTGAACAGAAGTCTTCATTTCTCTGGGGTAAATACCCAGGAGTGCAGTCACTGGTTCATATGGTAGCTGCACGTTTAGATTTGTGAAAAAAAGCAAAACAAAACAAAAACAAAACCGTTTCCCAGAGTGACTCTACCATTTTACATCCTACCCGCAATGTGTAAGTGATCCAGTTCTCTGGAGCGTTTGGTATTATTGTCACCTTTTTTTTTTTTTTTTTTAAGCCATTCTGATACATGTTTCAAGATATCTCATGGTGGTTTTAATTTGCATTTCTCTAATGGCTAGTGATGTTAAACATCTTTTTGTGTGCTACTTTACCGTGTGTATATCCTCTTTGGTGAAATGTCTGTTTATGTCTTCAGCCCATTTTCTACTTGGATTGTTTTTAAATTGTTGAGTTTTGGGAGTTCTTTCTATTCTAAAATACTAGTCCTTTTATAAATATGTAGTTTGCAAATATTTCTTCCAGTCTGTAGCTTGTCTTTTCATCCTTTTAATAGGATTTTTTACAGACTAAAACTTTTATAATTTGATGAGGTCCAATTTATCATTTTTCTTTTCTTTCTTTTCTTTTCTTTTTTTTTTTTTTTTTTTTTTTTTTTTTTTTTTTTTTGAGGTATAATTGACATATATTCATTTCAGGTGTACAACAGGATTCATTTTTTTTTTTTTGTATGCAGTGTGAGATGACACCACAGTAAGTCTAGCTAACACCTGTCACCTTTCATTGTTACAAAAATGGTTTTCCTGTGATGAGAATTTTAAGACACTGTCTTAGCAACTTTCAAATATGCAACACAGTGTTATTAACTGTAGTCACCGTACTGTATATTACATCCCTATGACATTTATTTTATAACTAGAGGTTTGGATCTTTGGACTCCCTTCACCTGTTTCACCTTTCCCCACCTCTGGTAACTACCTGGATGTTCTCTGTATCTATTAGCTTGGATTTATTTGTGGATGTTTTCTCTTTCAATTTCACACATAAATGAGATCGTATGGTATTTGTCTTTCTTTGACTTCTTTCATTTAGCGTAATGCCCTTAATTCTATTCATGTTGTCACACGTGTCAAGATTTCCTTCTTTTTATGGCTAAATAATATTCCATTGTGTACGTAACCACATTCTCTATCCATTCGTCTGTCTGTGGACACTTAGGTTGTTTCCATAAGTTGGCTATTTTAAATAATGCTGCATTGAACATTGAGGTGCAGGTATCTTTCGACAAAGTTCGTGTTTTCGTTTTCTCTGGATAAATAGTGAAATTGCTGAATCATATGGTAGTTCTATTTTTAATTTTTTGAGGAACCTCCATAGTGTTTTCCACAGCGGCTGCACCAGTTACAGTCCCACCAACAGTGTACAAGGGTTCCCTTTTGTCCACATCCTCACCAATACTTGCTATTTCTTGTTTTATTGATAATAGCCATTCTAACAGTTGTGAGGTCACAGCTCATTGTAGTTTCAATTTGCATTTCCCTGATGATTAGTGATCTTGAGTGCTGTTTCATAAACCTGTTGGGCGTTTGTATGTCTTTGGGAAAATATCTGTTCAGAGCCTCGAGTCATTTTTTAATTGGGTTGCTTGGTTTTTTTGCCATTGAGTTTTATGAGTTCTTCTCTCTACACACTGGATATTAACCCTTTAGCAGGACACGATTTGTAAATATTTTCTCCCATGTGGTAGGTTGCTTTTTCATTTTGTTGATGGTTTCCTTTGCTGTGCAGAAGCTTTTTAGTTTGATGGAGTCCCACTTGTTCATCTTTGTTTTTGTTGCCTTTGCTTTTGGTGTCAAATCCAAAAAATCATCACCAAGACTGGAGTTGGAGCTTAACTTGCCTGTATTTCCTTCAAGGAGTTTTATGGTGTCAGGTGTTCTGTTCAGATCTTTTGAGTTAATTTTTGTGGATGGTGTAAGGTAGTGGTCCAGTTTCGTTCTTTTGCATTTTGCTGTCCAGTTTTCCCAACACTATTTATTCAAGAGACTGTCCTTTCCTCTTTGGGTATTCTTGACTCGTTTGTGGTGAGTTAATTCACTGTACATACATAGGTTTATTTCTGGGCTCTCTATTCTGTCCCATTGATGTATGTGTCTGTCTTTATGCCAGTCCCATATTGTTTTCATTTTATATATTGTGTTTTTTGGCACATATAGTCTAAGAACTTTGCCTAGCCCTAGATGCTGGAGATTTTCAGTTTTTTCTAAGGATTTTATGGTTTCATATTTTATATTAAAGTCCATGATCCATTGTGATTTAATTTTTTTTCAACCTACAACAACCTTAACTTATTATCTCCGTTTATGTGGGTTAGAAGTCCAGGTCGAGCATCGCTCAGTGGGGCTCTAGCTCAGAGTCTCACCAGGCTGACCGAGGTGTCAGCAGGGCTGCGTTTTTGTCTGTTTGGTGGTTGTTCATGAAGTCTCTGGGGATGTGTCTGCTTCTAAACACATGCGTGTTGTTGGCAGATTTCAGTTTCATGTGGTTGTCAGCCAGGTTCTTTTGCTTGGATGCCAGTGTGGTCGGGTGGATTTTCATCAGGCTTCTATTCTTTCTGACCTCTCCTGCCTCCTATCTCCTACTTCCAGCTAGAGAAAATTCTCTGCTTTTAAGAACTTCGGGATTTTTTTTAAGTTTTTATTTAATTTCTAGTTAGTTAAATACAGTGTAACATTAGTTACAGGTGTACAGTGTAGTGAGTTAATTTTTGTGGTTTAGATCAAGATTCTCTCTGTCTTTTTTTATTTCTTTATTTTTTTTTGCTAAAGATGTCTGATTGCTCCAGCACTGTTTCTTCCGCCATTAACTTGCTTTTGCAAATTTGTCAAAAGTCCGTTAACATATTTGTATGGGTCTATTTCTAGGGGTTTTGTGTTTTTTGGGTTTTTTTTTAAATACCACAAAAGTCCATGTTCATTATGGACCCTTTTAGAAGATGAGAAAAAGCAGAAAAAGAAGAAATTGAGTCTTATCAAAAATGAGCTGTGTTAAATTTCTCTACATCTTTTTCCTGGGTTTTGCTTGTTTTTGCTATTGTTTCAAATAGTTGAACTCCTGCTATATGTAAAAATTGTATTGTGCTTTTAAAAAAATCCCATTATAGACATTTTTCCATATTGTGAATGTTTTAATATTATTTTAATGATCCTATAATATACCATTGTGTGGCATCTGTTGGCTGTTTAAAATTAATGTTTCCAAGCTTTGTTTTTGTTTTTTAAAAAGACCCCTCTGGTTACTGTCTTACTGGATTAAAAGATTTGGGCATTTTCAGATTCTTGCAATTTCATTGCCCCATTGCTTCTGAGGGGGTTTTACACCATTTACATTTTACTATTGTTATATGATTTATCTATAACAGCATTGCATTTCTGAGAATTCCCCTGAATACTTTTAACTTGAATTTTCATATTATTTGATTATTCCTTACTAGCTTTAAGCTTGACTTATGTTGAATGAAAATTAATGAGAATCTTAGTGATTGGTACTAGGTAAAAGTAGTAGTCAGCATTTACCCATTTAACAAATGTCGTTCACGTTTTGTAAATCATTATGATGTATAGTAACATGCAATTGAGATTTAGGGAAAACAGGTGGATTTGTTTTAAGATTGCTTTTACTTATTTATTTAAAAATATTTATTTTGGGGAGAGCACGGGGCGGGGGGGAGGGACGGGCAGAGAGAGGGGGACAGAGGATCTGAAGCAGGCTCTGCGCTAACAGACCGACAGCAGCGAGCCCCGTGCGGGGCTCGAACTCATGAACGGCGAGATCATGACCTGAGCCGAAGTCAGACACTCAGCCAACCGACTGAGCCACCCAGGTGTCCCTGAGGTTGCTTTTAGTTAAAAAAAAAAAAAAAAGAGAGAAGGAAAAAAACACATTCAATATGACCATTTACATCACAGTGTTGTTGCTTATTTGATTTTGATGATATGATTTTGCCTCCCTTCAAACAGAAAGCAATAGATCTTGCTAGCAAAGCAGCCCAGGAAGACAAAGCTGGGAACTATGAGGAAGCTCTTCAACTCTACCAACACGCGGTTCAGTATTTTCTCCATGTAGTTAAATGTAAGGCCATAGTTTGTTTTCTGTTTTAAAACGTTAAAGGAAAAGATTATTCTGTTTCTTTTATAAAAGTTGAAATATAATGCCAGAAAATTCTAAACCATCCATTTGCAAAATATTCCCGGTAGCTTGTTAATAATTTTTAAGTAGTCGGCAAACAAATGTGCATAGCTATCCTAGTTATTGTTACTTTGTCTACCTAAAAATATTAAAATGCCATATAATCGATGTAAATAGTTTTTATTTTACTGGCGATATACCCACATTATGTACGAACCACATTTTCGAAGCGTCTCTGAAAATACTCTCTTAAGTACTTTAAAAAAAAAGGTTGGGAGTCATTTTGTTTGTATGTTTTCCAAATACGTACTGCATGTTTCCCACGCACCAGGTACTGTTTTAGGCACCGGGATGCGACGGTGAGGGGAACCCTGCCTCCGTGGATCTTCAGTGTAGGCTGAGCATACGACAAAAGTGTCTCTGGCAAACTGAAAGTTATTTGTTACTGAAAACTTCAGCGGTTGGATAATTTAGGATTTTCTTTTGAGCTTCTTCATTTCATGTTGAGGTTTTTCTGTCAAATAAAAGTGAAACTAAAAATGAATCCTAAGATAATTGGGGCCGGTCCTTGCCCTGCATGGACTGCTCAAGTCGGCTTTTGAAATAGCTCCTGCAGAGGCCTTTGTGGAGTAAAATTACTGTATTGGGGGCACCTGTAACACGGAATTTCCGGCATTCTTCTACCATGAGATGAAACTTACGTAGACATTAATGGAAACGGTTGATATTACTTTTGTTGGTCTTAGAATTGGTTTTATGCGAGAGCAGCCACTTTCAGCTGTCCGCACAAAATGTTAAAGGAAGAATAGAAAACCCACAGAATATTACATAATTTCTTCTTATTATTTAGCATTAATTTAACATATCCTAGTGTCTTGCTCAGATTTCTTTCTGCCTCAGACCCGCTGTGGGCTTCCAGCCGTGCTGGAGGGAAGCGGACAAGAGTTGGTGATGGTTGGTTACGAGGCTTAGAGATACCCTTCCTCCCTCCCCCCCCCCCTCCCAAACTAGATTGTCCGTGTCTCAAAAGTGTGTCTAAGAGTTTAAACCTGTCCATGTAGAAGACTAATGGAAAAATCTCTCTCACTTCCCTTTAATAGATGAAGCCCAGGGTGATAAAGCCAAGCAGAGTATCAGGGCAAAGTGTACAGAGTATCTTGATAGAGCAGAAAAACTAAAGGAGTACCTGAAAAAGAAAGAGAAAACTCCACAGAAGCCAGTGAAAGAGGGACAGCCGAATCCAGCGGACGAGAAAGGGTATGTATTTTAGAGTGTTAGACTTTATTATATCTACTTAAAAGAGAAAACTACATTTAACTTGTGAAATCCATTTCTTTTGTTTAAACCAGCTGTTGGCAACCCAGGACTCAGAGGCCAAATCTGACCCACTGCCAGTTTTTGTAAGCAAAGTCTTACCAGAACATAGTCTCTTACGTCTAAGAAAATGAGATTGTGGGACCTTGCTATCTGGCCTGGTTGGGTTTGCAGGCAGGAGGTTCTGGTCAGCTGTACGGGGACTGTGACGCTCACTGTTCGTGGTGTGCAGTGGCGCAAGTTACTTGGGTAATCCCTGTGGTCGCCGGGAAGGGAGTGCCTTGCAGGCAAGGCTTTGGGGCAGCTTCCGAAGGCCATTTCAAAGGACATAAGGAATGGAAGAACTAGAGGTGACCGGCTGCTTCAGACTGCACGGAAGGGTTTGAGGAAGACTGCAAATTCAGCGTTTTATATCCTCTGTTCAAGACATGGTCAGGGAATCTGCGGTTCCTGTGACACCTGAGAATATTTTCTCTTCTGTACCTACAGCACTGACATAACAAAAATCAGACCCCACCTGATCTTGCGGATTACTGCATTTCAACATGGAATCAACTTTAGGGTTTCTTATGTGAAAGTTGGGCCATTTACTGGCGGACTAATGAAACCGTTGGAAAAATTTTAGTTAACCTCGAATGACCCCCTGACTCTTCCTGAGACTCCTTTGCTGGGAAAAATGTCCTCTCCTCCCTGTGAGTTGAGGACCCTGTGGGGTCCACTCCTGAGATGGCTCCCTAGCAGGGGGATACCAATTCTGTATTGAATAGCAGGACCCATCTTGGCCAATTTAAGCAAAAACGGATTTATTACAGAGTCTTAACCTTATAGATCTGGGGGAGGGCGGGCAGGGAATCCAGCTTGGATTCCGTAGCGTTAGGAGAAATGCCCGCCTCCCCCAGGGTGTTTCTGGTAAGGATCCGAGGCCTCCTGGTGCCAGGCAGGAGGACCTCCGCCCAGCTCCCTCCGCAAAGCCAGGGTGTTCGCTCTCAGGCATGGTCTCCTTGCACGCAGCGGCCACCTCAGCTGCTTGCCTCCGCCTTCTCGGAGGAGCTTCAGTCTCCTGTGGGGCCCCAGCTGCAAGGAAGCCCGGGCAGGGCAGTTGTGCGAAAGCACCGTCTTCATTGTGCAAGAAAGCACGGTGGGACGAGGCTGGAGTGGGCGTCAGGTGAATCGTTTGGCGGTCTCCACCCCACCTGTAACCCCACCATCCTAGGATAACCAAGCCAGTCCCGTTTGGGGGAAAAGATGTCTAGCTTTTTAATCCCCCTTTATATTTGATATGTAAAAAATGAAGTAATGCCATATTTTTCGCTTTACCACTTTTTCATTCAACATTGTGTCGTAAATATCTTTCCAATAAACTATTTCTACATCATTTTCAAATACTACATTGTGTTCTATCATATACTAATCCCTATAATTAAGCATACTCTATTTCTAATTTTTTCCCCTTTGGGAACAGTGTGGGCGTGATTATCCTTGTCGTCAACTCTTTGAACTTACTTTAAATTATTTTTTCAGAATAAATTCTTAGATATGAAATATCTGGGTTGATTTACTTGTCTTTTGGTCTCAGTTCATTTTCATCAAAAGCTTCATCTATTCTTTGGAACCCCCAACCTAAGGATTACAGACCTTGATACTTTAAATAATTAATATTCGGGGGTTTTCTCTCCTGGTTATGGCTTCTTGTTCTGATACATAGTTTGCCTGGTTTGGTGTTTTTATGTTGTTTACAACTCTCCTGTAACTCATCTAAAGTCTTTTGTGGAATGAGGTGTGGGGCATGCGTTTATAAATGTGCACATACATAGGTATGTCATGGGAATTTGGAGCTGGTTCCTGACTTCATTCTGGTCTTTTTGCCCCTTTCCTGTTCATGATTCCATATTGACAGATAACATGCCTGCTTACTATTTTATTTAATATATTCTTATTAAAAGTAATAAAATAAGGATAACTTTTAATACGAATGTCTTATTTTGCCACTTAAAGTACAAATATTTCAGATTAATTTTTCCTTCATTTTTGCCTTATTTTGATAGCAATGAGTGATCATTTGAATATATTAAATTCTTTTTATTAGGAATGACAGTGATGGGGAAGGAGAATCTGATGATCCTGAAAAAAAGAAACTACAGAATCAACTTCAAGGTTGCTTTAGATTTCATTTTTAAATTTACTATCTTATTTTTTTTTTAAAAAACCTCATAGTGAATTGTCTATCTGAATTGCTTTTTCCACCTGTATTCAAATGAGGTTCAAGAACTGGCTTTGGTTCCCAGTGGCCCCATGCTGGCTCTGTGTAGGCCATTTTCACAGGATTTGCTCTGTAGGATCTCAGCTAGGTTGTTTTTTCTATGTAGTCAAATATTGTTTGGTTTTATATGTGCCTTAGAAACCTGTCTGTCAACTTACTCGTTTTCATTTTGTCTTATTTGCCCCCTTCTAGAGAAGGTAGCATTTACACTAGTAGCATGCTGCAACATTTAATGGTATTAAAATTCTCAAACTGTCAGAGGAACAGAAGGAGTTTGGACTCACGCTTGGCTTTTATTGCTGTTGCCGTAGCGTATTCATTGATGGTTTATTTCATGTTTCCAGACCTTTCGCATCGGCTTCTTACTCTGTTTCAGTGTTGCCATTTACATTAATCTCTTCCAGCTTTCTGTTTTTACCTTCCACACCTGTAAAAAGCCTGTTCGTTCTCATGTGCTCGTAGTATAGCGGTGTGATGGGGAGGGTATGGATTTTTAGTTCCATTCAGATCTGGATTCCCCTCCAGGGCCTCCTGCTGAAAAGCTGTCTAATCTTGGGCAGGTTCTGTAGCCTCTCAGAGTAGAAGACCCCAGCTCTAAGATGGAAATTAACAATACCTTCTTTTCTGAGCAATTAAAAGATTATGACAGTGTAAAACCTGACAATGTTATATCTGACAAATTTTAGGGCCTCAGTAAATGGTAGTCATTCTGTGTATCTAAAATGGCATCTATTCAATTGCTGACTATATATACTGAGATTCGATCATCATTTGATATGTTAGCTGATGACTTTTTGGATTGAGTTTTATGTATTTTGTTAACTTGGATCTTACCGAATAGATGCATAGCTGGGAAGGATTTCCATTATATAGGCACAGCCTTGGTGAGTGAATGGTGACTGCACCCTGCTTGGCCAGTCTTTTAATCTTACTGCACTAACTGGTCTCTTCATTTTTATTCTGTTACCTGTCTTACTAACCGCACTGGGACATCTAGGAGAACACTCTAAGGGTAACACCTTGGAAATGCTACCGTTAGTGAGGATACTTTTACGTAAGTCTGAGAGCTTGAGTGGCGGATAAAATCAAAAAGCAAAGGCCGAGTTTCTGCTGCCACAGCAGCACTGCCTGGAGCGGTGCGAGCACACGCTTGCTACTCAGTGAGCTCTGCTGGACAACCCCGTGGTCTGTGCCAGGTGGCCTTACTGTTGGAAGGCAAAAGGCATTTTTTTCTGTCCTGCTGTTGTTTCCCCTCTCTCCCCCACAAAGTAAAAACTGGATTGTATCTTTAGTTTTGGAAAAGATACAAGCCAGTTTTTAATAGGGAATTTTTCTTTAAAAATCAGTAATGATCGGGGCCCCTGGGTGGCTCAGTCGGTTGAGCGTCCAACTTCAGCTCAGGTCATGATCTCACAGCTCCTGAGTTCGAGCCCCGCGTCGGGCTCTGTGCTGACAGCTCGGAGCCTGGAGCCTGCTTCCCATTCTGTGTCTCCCTCTCTCTCTGCCCCTAACCCACTCGCATTCTGTCTCTGTCTCTCTCAAAAGTAAACAAACGTTAAAAAAAAAAAATCAGTAATGATAAGGACCAGAGATGTACAAAAATACAAATGCTGAAAACACATAAATGAGAACATTTATTTGGAATTTCAGGATGAAGTGTAGTATGAAATCCTATCCTTTCATATCTAAGTCATTTTTTCCGTCTTTTCATTTAAGAGTTGCTCATGGATTTCACTGTAAAATAGCCTTTCTTGAATCTTGCCTCTTTTCCCTGAGAGAGTATTTTAAATCTTTTACTTCTGTTTTAAGTTATGATTTTAAATGTAATATTTGATTATTAAAATTAAAGAATTTATGATTTGAGTTTTCTGTTAGCTGTTTTGATGCTCACGGACTTTTTTTTTGAGGTTAAATAACATTAGTATAATACAGAGTAGGTCAAAGACTGGATGAATTTATATAATTGGAAAACAAATCATTTGGCTTGTATTCCCAATAATCCTTCTCCTCCTTTTTAGTTACTACTTTTGTCAGTGTTACTTTTATCTGAATTTTTTATCACTAAATATTCCAAAGTCACTTTTCAACTTTGAAAAGTATTAATTAAGTATAAAGATAAATTATGGCATATTTAGAAAATTCATACTTAGGAAAAACTCTAATTGGCCAGATGATATTTACATAATTTAAAGTAAATTTACTTTTGTTTACCTATCACAAAATCCTATGGGGTGTTGTAAATGTTTCCTTACTAATCTGAGTGGAACATAGAAAAGAAAAAGTGAATTGGCTTTACTTTATACTTACTGTAAACTTTTAGAATGTAGAAAGTGTTTAAGGTTTCATTTCAATTTTTTTTTTCAAGATTTTATTTTTTTAAGTTATCTCTGCACCCAACGTGGGGCTCGAACTTAAAACCCTGAGATCAAGAGTCACATGCTCCACTGACTGAGCCAGCCAGGCACCCCAGTTTCATTTAATTTAGGTCTATAGCTAAAGATTTTCATAATTTAAGTAGGTTGTGTAATATAATTACTCTTTGAATAATAGATGATCTTTCCTAACAAGAAGAAATACCCATAAAACTAAATTTATTGGTAATCAGGAGACTGTGTAAGTGGTAATATTTTGTTATACTTAAAACAGTTATATATTACCTTAGAACTGGCTTTTGGAAATGCTTTTTTGTTGTTAATTTTTTTTTTAATGTTTATTTTTGAGAGAGAGAGAGAATGAATGCAAGCAGGGGAGGGGCAGAGAGACAGGGAGACACAGAATCAGAAGCAGGCTCCAGGCTCTGAGCCGAAGTCGGACACTTAACCGACTGAGCCACAAAGGTGCCTTCGAAAAGCTTTTGATAAAAGAATAACTAAAAACTTTTGCCAATAAGCTGTATTAGAAGAAATCTTTTGTGGATTCTTACTGCAACAATTAGTGTCGCCTTTGAATATAATATACAGAAAAACTAAATCATTTAGATAGCTTTTTTAATGTACAAAAATTTTAAGTAGGTCTATTTAGAAGCCAAAAAGAAAATTTGGCAAATCTTAGGAAAATATTGCAAATCTACAAGAGCACACTTCTCTCTCTTCCATCATCCCCTCCCTTCCCTTCTCCCTACTATTTATCTGTGCATCCATCTGTCTGTCATCAGTTAAAACTTTTGAGGACATTTTTCTTTTTGTGGTTAAGGAGAGCATTAGATCACTGGGTGTTTTTGTTAAAAAAAAAAAAAAAGAACTAGTAGATCAGCCCCCCTTGAACAAGTACTTACGACACTTTAATGCCTTCAAACATGACGGCCACTTGCTGTAATGTCTGGCGATTTTCCAGACACTCTAGTATTCATTACGTCATTTGATCCTTACACTAACCCATCTTAAGTAGTTTGGGGAGATAGTGTTATTTTCATTTTACAGTGAGGAAGAGGAAATAGAAAAGCTAAGTGACCTCCCCGAGGTGATCTAGTCGCCCACCCCAGCTTCCAGACTCCTGTTGACTCCGCCCTAATAACTACTTCCTTGTCACACGAGTTCTAAAAGGTTCTTAATAGATAAAACTTTTCCAGACAGTTTTATAACGTGTTTCTTGAACGTCATTATTTCGTGTTGTATTCTACATTTGATAGAATAGTCTTCCTTAATTTAAAGGTGACATAATGTTTTTGTAGGTGCCATTGTTATGGAGCGACCAAACGTGAAATGGAGCGACGTTGCTGGTCTTGAAGGAGCCAAAGAGGCACTGAAAGAGGCTGTGATATTGCCTATTAAATTTCCTCATCTTTTTACAGGTGAGATGAATGTTAAATATTTTTTTGGTCATTGTTTAAAAAGTCATTGATGACTGAAGTAGAGCGTTGTGAATTTTTGTCACCGTATTATAAGGTAACAGCTTACATCAGTTCTGTTATGAGGTGGCGATACACCTTTACACAAAGGTATTTATTTCATACACATATTTGTAATATGTACATATATAGATATATGGCCACACAATGTAAATGTCAACCAGTAGGGTGATCACCGACATGCAGTGGAGTGCTGTGTGCTCACTAAAATATAGGGCACATTTACAGATCTACATTATTAACATGAAGGCATGCCCACGTGTATGATAAAGGTCCAAATCCCACGTTATAAATGTGTGTGGTATGTTTCTATATTTGTTAAATAAATGTGTGCTGGGAAGTAAAAGTAGACCGACCAAAATGTTAAGGCTCTGCCTGGGTGATAAGATTAGGGGTGATTTTTACTTCTTTGAACTTTCATCTGAAGTTTTTGCAATGGCCATGCACTAGTTTTATGAGAGTTCTTCCATTTCTTGAAAAGAGGAATAGGAATTGTTTACCATTTTCAGATGAAGTACCTACCTCTAGGGACAGCTGCTTCTCACTGTGACAGAATATTGCTAAGCCAGCCGTCTGGGTGTCGTTGAAGTTACAGCTCCAGCAGTAGGTGATTTGTGCTGCACCTTTCCTTCATTTCGTCCTGTGTGTGACCGAGAGCCTGCCTGTGTTTGTGCTGTGGCTGTACCCACAGTGTCACAGTGAAACGGGGCTTCCCTTTTAGAAACAAGCTGGTTTATGTAGAGAGCGGATCTGTGATGTTGGCCTCAAGCTGAACACTTCCAGAAGGTACTGTCGTATAGAGTAGTGATGAGCAGAGAACCCATGGGCCCCCAGTGGTCCACCTAGCAAGGTATGACTTACAACCTAACTTTAGAAATAGGAAATTAACAGTGTCAAAGTGACATCGTGGGGGCGCCTGGGTGACTCAGTCTGTTAAGTGTCAGACTTCGGCTCGGGTCATGATCTCACGGTTTGTGGGTTTGAGCCCCGCGGCGGGCTCTGTGCTGACAGCTCGGAGCCTGGAGCCTGCTTCGGATTCTGTGTCTCCCTCTCTCTCTGCCCCTCCCCCTCTCGCACTCTGTCTCCCTCTCTCAAAAATAAACATTAAAAAATTTTTTTTTTAATTAAAAGTTGACATCATGATTCTATAAAGGCACAAAAGTATGGTTGAGATCATTTTATATTACTTACATCACTGTTTTGCAAACACGTCATTTATGTATCTTCTTTATGATTGTTTCCATATATGTGTACCGTTATTATTTTTTTTTAATTTTTCTTTAAATCACTCATTTATAGAGCAAATTTGTATAGCCTAAATATACAGAGACCAGCAGGAACCTGTAAGTGTTCAGCTTCATAAGTTATCAGAAAGTAAGTATATCTATGTAATCATCATCACACAGATCAAGAAATAATACCAATAACCCAGAAGTCTCCCTCTGCCAAATCTTTCCTCTGCAAAGGTAATCACTCTCTTGACTCCTCTAACACCGTAGATTGTTTTGTCTGTATTTGAACTTTTAAGTCATCTTATTTTTATGTACTAACTTCATTTAAAAATTTTTTTTTAACATTTATTCACCTTTGAGAGAGAGAGAGACAGAACATGAATGGGGAAGGGTCACAGAGAGAGGGAGACACAGAATCCGAAGCAGGTTCCAGGCCCCGAGCTGTCAGCACAGAGCTTGACATGGGGCTCGAACCCATGAACCGTGAGATCATGACCTGAGCCAAAGTCTGCAACGTAACTGACTGAGCCACCCCGGGCGCCCCTGTATTAACTTCATTTTAAAAGATTGCTTTGTGCCTGCTATAAATGGAAAAAAATTAATAATTTTCTAATATTTAAAAATTATTTAAATACAAAGTATTTGTGTGCTGCGTAGAAAGCACTTCATATGCCACTAATTATATGTGCCACATTTAAGGGAACACTGACTTACAATTGTAGACATTTAAAATAGGAAGATAGAATTCAAGTCAAAGATGAGGCTTATGTAACAATTCTCAGATTTGCCATTAGTAATCTGCATGTCATTCTTTTATTTTTATTCTTTTTTTATTTTCTTAAGTTTGTATATTTATTTTGAGAGACAGAGTGCATGCAAGCAGGTGAGGGTCAGAGAGAGAGGGAGAGAGAGTCCCCAGCAGGCTCCACATACAGAGCCAGACACAGAGCTGGACCTCATGAACCGTGAGATCATGACCTGAGCAGAAATCAAGTCTCCACAATGCCTAACCCACTGAGCCACCCGAGGCGCCCCACGTGTCATTCTCCTATGGATACCATGTACCTGTCCAGTTTGCACCTAGAAGTTTTTTAAGTGTATAGTTAATATTTTTTTGCCAGATGTAACTCAGCCTGTTTTATTTTAGGCAGTGTTATGATTTCTCATTAGGAAAATTGAAATACAGAGTTGATTTGCTCACTTGTTATATTTTGGCAAAACTAGGATTTCAGGTAGAGTCCGCTTATCGTTACCCAACCACTTGAACAAGAAAACAAGAATAGGCTCTCTGTAATAGTAACCTTTGCCTCCTTGTGGAATCAGGAACTGAATAGAACTTTGTGAGGGATCACCCAAACTGTATTAGTTTCATTCCCCCAAGCGTCAAATATTTAAAAGAAAATGTTTCCAGCTGCCCTTGCCCTATGGATATAGTTTGTCCTACAGTGTTCTGGTATTAAGGATCATACACAGTAGACCATCAGGTAGTACGTTTTAGCTGAATGAGTCTGCCTTTACTAGATTGCAAGACCCTCTTGTATTCACAGTTCTCCGTCTGTACGTTGTGGTTTCAGTGCATAGTGGTTGAATGAACGAGTGAGCGAGCAGTTGAGCTTCCTATTAGAAGGATTATATATCTATGTAAACCCATTGGACAAAGTGGTCTCTAGAAAAAGCAAATATAATATTTCTAAGACATACTTACCTTAGATTGATTTATTTGAAAAAAAAATTATTCTGTTAGCTGCAGAGTGAAAACTTCTCCACAGTATTCTTCAGTATGGGTGATGTCTCGAGTAACTGAAATTAACAGTCTTAGGTTCTCATGTTATTTTTCTCATGTGAATTTTAGGCAAGAGAACACCTTGGAGGGGAATTCTGTTATTTGGCCCACCGGGAACAGGAAAGTCCTATTTAGCCAAAGCTGTGGCAACAGAAGCAAACAACTCAACGTTTTTTTCAATATCTTCCTCTGACCTTGTCTCTAAGTGGCTAGGAGAAAGTGAAAAGTAAGTAGTAAGTTGTTTTGGGTTTTTTTTTTTTTTTTTTGGTTTTTTGGTTTTTTTGGCTTTTTAGTTTTTCTTTGCCAGGTAGTCACTATATCAGTATATAAAGGAAGAGTCTTCCTACATCATGAATAGACATTCAGAGAAGTATCTGAATATGAAATAAGTATTCATTTCGCTGTCAGATCAGTCCCTAGTTTGACATTTATTTCATAGGGAAAAGATAGCATATGTATAGTTATATATAGCATAGTGTAGTAAATCATAAAGTGAATCATCCAGTTGTAGTATTCTTATTTTCTAGACCAAAACATAGTTGGACCTTTTAATCTGTAGAGTTCTTATAATACTGTATATGTGTTGTTGTTGTTGTTTTTTTTCATTAAGTCCTTTGTCATTTACTATTCTTTTAAGAAGCTGAAAGCTTTTACTTATTTTTAGGCTAGTTAAGAACTTATTTCAGCTTGCCAGAGAGAGTAAACCTTCCATCATCTTCATCGATGAAATTGATTCTCTGTGTGGCTCAAGAAGCGAAAACGAAAGTGAAGCTGCCCGTAGAATTAAGACGGAGTTCTTAGTTCAAATGCAAGGTAGGCCGACTGGCTTTTCACATAGTTTCTGTTTATTGTATCACCAATATCGTCACAATAATGAAACAGTGAAGTTCAAGCTGAGTTTCTTCGTTTTAGCGGACCGCGTGTTTGCTTATGCCAAGCTCCATTCCGGTCGTCCTCCATGGTGTAATCATCTTGCAGTACTCTGGCAGAAACAGGAAGATTTGCATATTCACTTACATCATACCAGGAACAGTACCAGCAAAAGGAATTTGTAGACTTCAAATGAAATCTTTCAAGAAATATTTTGAAAAGAATATTAATAGTATTTGCCCACAGTCTAGCAGATTTGATTCTTGGGAATATTTGCATTGTAGTTTAATAATGTGATACTTGATTTTTCAAAGAGACTCTCTCAAGGTGGGGCACTATAACATTAAAACCCCACATTCTTAACAGAACGTACAGGCAATGTTTAAAGAACACTGAAACGAAAAATTATTTAAAATATTACTTATTTTGGTGCAGGCGTTGGTGTAGACAATGATGGAATTTTGGTTCTGGGAGCTACAAATATCCCCTGGGTTCTGGATTCTGCCATTAGAAGAAGGTATGAAAATATAGTAAAGATCTTATTTCTAACTACAGATGTAACAAGTCAGTAGCAATTCCCTTTTTGTCTAGTGAAGAGGCATTCTGAAAACTTTTCAGAATTTTTTTTTTTTATTTTTTTTCACGTTTATTTATTTTTGAGACAGAGAGAGACAGAGCATGAACGGGGGAGAGTCAGAGAGAGAGAGGGAGACACAGAATCTGAAAAACAGGCTCCAGGCTCTGAGCTGTCAGCACAGAGCCCAATGCGGGGCTCAAACTCACGAACCGCGAGATCATGACCTGAGCCCAAGTCGGACGCTTAACCGACTGAGCCACCCAGGCGCCCCTAGAATTTTTTTGATGTGCCCTAATCCTGCTGGCCCCCAGTGTCGGAGGAAGAGAGGCAGGCATTTGTTTGTTTGCTATGTTAAAGTTACAAGATGTCCACTTACGAATCTTTCACATTGGAACATATATTACCTAATGCTTAACTTGTAATTCAGACTATGCTTAGTGGGCACTGATGCTTCTAAAATTTACAAATATAGCTTGATATTTCAATGGAAAACTTTCACATAAAATTTTAGCAAAATGACAGTTACATAGGTTAAAGTATGATAGATAACCAAGATATATTTTCATTAAAAAATTTACATTTATGGGGCACCTGGGTGGTTTAGTTGGTTGAGTGTCCGACTTCGGCTCAGGTCATGAGCTCGTGGTGTGTGGGTTCTCGAGCCCTGTGTCAGGCTCTGTGCTGACAGCTCAGAGGCTGGAGCCTGCTTTGGATTCTGTGTCTCCCTCTCTCTCTCTGCCCCTCCCCTGCTCATGTTCTGTCTCTCTCCCAAAAATAAACAAATATTAAAAAGGAAGTAATTAAAAGAAATTTGTCTATAATTTTTAAGTTGCATACGAAACTTGAGCTACAGGGAAGGTATATAGTCTTGTTACTTTTATTTATTTATTTTTTTATGTTTACTGAGAGACAGAGAGAGAGCATGAGCATGGGAGGGGCACAGAGAGGAGGAGACGTAGAATCTGAAGCAGGCTCCAGGCTCAGCTGTCAGCACAGAGCCCGACACGGGGCTCGAACTCACAAACCACAAGATCATGACCTGAGCCGAAGCTGGATGCTTAACCGACTGAGCCACCCGGGTGCCCCTAGTCTCGTTAGTTTTCACACACATAGTTCCCTATTTCAGTCACTGAATTTTGCATGGTAAAAATTAGCATCAGTTCCTGCCGCTTTTACCCCATTCACTTGATGCTTTGCCAAGATGCTAGGTTACTGTCCAGTATCAAGAGAGGAAATCTGCCCGTTACTTTTGCAAACTTGTCTAGTTCTAAACCCCAGTCTGTAGATAATGGAAACTTAAACTTCTTACTGCCACAGAGTTACCTAAAGGGAAAACAATCTTCACAGCCACTTAAATTGGCCTTTGTTACTTCCTATCTCCAAATGCTGTCTAAGAAGGCAAGCAAAATTATTCTTAATAAAACAGTGTTTATGAGATAGTATAACTATTTATTCTGAATGTACCTATTATGATAAAGTGGACATTTTGTGTCGACATATGCTTATTATGTAAGATTTTGAGTAATTTTACTGTTTTGGATTTGGAGAATTATTTTGTCCTCTCTTATTTCATATGATGAACCATAATCCCTTGATCAGGAGTTCAGAATATAAATCTATGGGGAGCTAATCTTGTGAGACATACCAGGTTGCGACCTCTAGACATACAAAGACTATGGCCAAAATAACCCAAAACTCATGTGAGAAAGATTAAGTCACTCCAAACTGGTTCTCTCACTATGTTGGTTTTACTTGTTAGTTGTTAACATGTTCTGGATATTTTCCCACTGTTTAACCAAAATATATATCTTTAACTCTGACACATAGAAATCAACCAGCTTAGCTTTGTATAAATGAGACCATCTGAGTATCTTGTTTCTTCTTGAAAAATCTGAATTTTCAATTGAAATTAAATATATGTAGTAATATTCTTGGTATAATTTTTCTTTCAAGATTCGAGAAACGAATTTATATTCCTTTGCCTGAGGCCCATGCCCGAGCAGCAATGTTTAAATTGCACTTGGGGACCACTCAGAACAGTCTAACGGAAACAGACTTCCGAGAACTTGGGAAGAAAACCGATGGTTATTCGGGAGCAGACATAAGTATCATTGTGCGTGATGCGCTCATGCAACCTGTTAGAAAAGTACAGTCAGCTACTCATTTTAAAAAGGTAAGGAGCTTTGATCCACCCTTTCATAGGTTTTTAAAGTCAGGCCATCATTAATTTGTCTTCAGAGAATTTCAGGAAGGTTTCAGTTCTGTAAACTAAAGTGCGTTTATAGAATAGACATTTCCATTTCATTGCAAATAAGTTCTCCCACAAAGTTTATTAATAGCCTTAAAGTATTTTAAAATGTTACGTGCAATGATTTTTCTAAGTACTTATTATTTTGATGTAAGTATAGAAACTTTTAAGTATATAGTTACCTATGATGTAACTAGAAGGAATATCTTTGAGCAGAACCTGGTGCATTTACACTTCATTAGCAAAAACGGCCGCCTGGGTGGCTCTGTCAGTTGAGTGTTCAACTCTTGACTTCTGCTCAGGCTGTGGTCCCAGGGGTCGTGGCATCCAGCCCTGCGATGGGCTCTGCGCTGAGTGTGGAGCCTGCTTGAGATTCATTCTCTCGCTCTCTCACTCTCGCCCTCTTCTCCCCGCCTTCTCTCTCCTCCTCTCTCCCTCCCTCTCTCCCTTCTCTTCTCCCTCCCCTTTCCCCCACTCCTCTCCCTTTCTCCCCCCACTGTGCTCTCTCTCTCGTTAAAAAAAAAAAAAAAAAAAAGGTAAAAATAATAATGGCTGATACTAAATATCCCCATGCCTGGAACTGTGTTCTATTCTTTATCTTACTGTTGTACTTGGTCCTCACAAAAACTCTGCAGGAGGTGCCTTTCGCCACCTGTTGATCATTAATCTGAGACATAGATGTTAACATGATAAAACTGGGGCTTGGACGCTGACCCGGTTTGCTGGGGTACAACTGGAGGGGTGCAGAGGTATGATTTTTCTCTAGGTCACGTGTACTTCGGAATGTGAAGCCTTGCTTCCCATACACCATTCTGTCTGCATGAATGAGTTGAGCATATAGTGTTTTGTCAAACGACCATGGTCTTGGGACGTCCATTGTAAGTAACAGTGGAGTAGGTAATATGGACTAACCCTGTTCCTAAGGGCTGCGGTGTCCCATGTTACTCATGAACATGGATGTGAGAATCCTGAAAAACTATTAGTAAACCTAATCCGGCAATCTATGACAAGACTGCTATATCATGAGTAAGTTACATACGTATGTCTGTTAACCCCACAATAAAATAAGATTTTAAGAAAAGGATGAACCTGAATTAAAACCTGAATTTAAAGCCCGAGTCCACAGTTTGCCTGTCACATCTCCTTGAGCACATTTGGTTACCCGTTTCAAGCTCATTTGTATCTTCTCCAAAGTAGAGATGACAACACTGCCTCGAAGTGCTCTGTGCGAGAGGAATGAAGCAGCTCTCGTGAAGCATCTCTGTCCTGGTACCTGAGCAGCCCAGGAAACGGCTCTTTCCACTTCTTCAGCCATTTCGTTACTGAGGGAAATACAGGAGGCTCAGGGTCAAGTTTAGTCTCAGCCACTGTTATTTTCTTTTAAATTCTCTTTGCCATTTAGAAACTATAGATTTTTAGGAATCCAGTCCTTTCTTATCCAGAAGTTTTCATTCAGTTCTCCGTATTACTACCGGGACAGGCTACACGACCCGGAAGCCAGGTCCTTACTAGAGGACAAAGGCAAAGCAGCCAAATCAGGGTTAACACCAGGTCTTCTCTGCATCACCAGCTATGGTAGAGCTCTCAGTGGCTCCATGCTTTACTCCCATTTTGAAGGATGATTATTTCAATCAAAAACAAGATTGCCTGTTTATTTTGTCAAATGTCTAAAGTACTGGTAAGTCAGGAAGCACCACAGTCAAAAACAAAAGTCCTGGGTGGCACCTGGGTGGCTCAGTCGGTTGAGCATCCGACTTCGGCTCAGGTCATGATCTCACAGTCTGTGAGTTCGAGCCCCACATCGGGCTCTGTGCTGATGGCTCAGAGCCTGGAGCCTGCTTCCGATTCTGCGTCTCCCTCTCTCTCTGCCCCTTCCTCACTCATGCTCTGTCTCTCTTTGTCTCAAAAATAAATAAAAACATTGAGAAAAAAAAAATTCAAAACAAAACAAAAATCCCTTGTGCTCTCTTTGGCACCACATTTCCTACAAACAAAAATCCCCACAGCTGAAAGGCTTGTGGGGAAAGACAGACAATAAAATAGACATAATAAGTGAAGTTAGAATGTTTATTTTTCTGCACCTACCCTAATCCTGGGATAATACTTAAGACTGATCATCAAATAAATATTAAATGTGAAAGCAGCTCCCAACTGGTATAGATTTGTTGCCATCTAAAAAATACTTGTGTGTGACTCTGTCACAAAGGTTCTCTCTCTGGGTGTTATTAAAATTTTATTTTAAATTAGTTATGAATCACAAAATAGCACTGAAATTATACTTAGCATTTATTTTTGTGCTTATATTTAAAGAAGAAATTTTTGTTAAAAAAGACAAAGATTCGGTGATTTCACACTAATAAATCTAAATATCACAGAAACTTTCTCAGCTTTAGAAAATAGAGAAACTTAGGAGAATTATTGAGGATTACTTTTTTTTGGTCTCTAAGAGCATTTAATAAGAATTAGAGAAGAAAAGAAAACTCTTAATCACAGGTAACTTTTTTTTTTTAAATTTTAATTCATTTTCTCCTTGTGATCATGTAAGTAATTTATGGTAGGAAATTTCAGACTATAGGAAAGCCTCAAGAAAAAAATTAAAACTAAGCAAAACCTATCCCATCACCCAAAGACAGCTAGCTACATTTTGTTGTATATTCTATTTATTTGTGGAAGTCAACATTTTAACAAAGTATAGAATGGTACATTTTCACATTTCCTGATAATGGCCTAAACCTTAATTTTGTTAATTTGTTCAAGTAAATATTTCAGATTACTATTTATTCCAGGTTCGCGGACCTTCACGAGCTGATCCTAACAAAATAGTAGATGATCTGCTAACACCATGTTCTCCAGGTGACCCTGGTGCCATTGAAATGACATGGATGGACGTCCCTGGGGATAAACTTCTGGAGCCAGTTGTTTGCATGGTTTGACATTTTGTTTGCTTTTAACAAAAAACTTAAAACATAATTTGTAATTTGTGAGACAAAGATAAACATTTTACGTAAAATTAGCTAGGAAATTGTTTGTGTAATACTAACTATTCAGTTAAAAAGTTGTAAAGATAATTAAACTTAAAATGTAACAAATAATTATCTTTAAAATATTTTCTTGGGCTTTAAGGAAAATTTAATTTTAAGTGAAAAAGCTATTTTTCAAAAACAGGCTTCTAAGTTTATAGGTCTTACAGCTGGGATACGATCACCAAAAGACTTATCTATAAATTATTGTCAAGACTTAATAAAAAGTGGAATTGTTGAAAATTTCTTTTCTGGGGATTCTAAGATTCTGTAAAATATCTGGAAACCCTAATGCATGTATCATAGTATTCGTGATGGTATTTTTGTTTTACTTCTTCAGGCTTCATAGAAAGTTTAAATATTATAGTGCTTGAAAAAAAAATCCTGAAACCAAGTTTTTATGATAAAAAATTAAATTTCTGTAGTTTATATTGGAGGAATTAAAATAATTTGTAAGATTGTTATTTTGTAACGTATAGGAAGCTTACTGTGATGGAAAAGCTACATTTACTGTTTTTATGTTTTCTTATTGGTGAATGTTCAGTTTTTTTTAAATCTTCTACTTCGGTTACAGATTTGCAAAGAGCTTTGTGTCAGAATTAACAGTAACTTCCAGAAAAAAAACTTACTTACATGGTATATACTCTATATCTATAGATGTACATGTACCTCTATAAGTACATAAGTATGTCTATAGATATATTTATGTGTTAACCATACTGCTTCTCTGAAAAGTTATTCAGTTGTTGCAGTCTTTGCTATATTATTTTTTAAAGATTTTGTTCTTTAGATCATTTTTCATATAAGAGACATAGCCTAGAACTTAATTTTTTAATGAATCTCTGATATTAGCATATTTTCTTACCATTTGATCATAATTTTGACTAATAGCTAAAAAATTCTGATAGTTGGTTTTAATTAATTGTATTGTGTTTCACATAAGTGTAAGTGAATGATTATGTTCCTTTTGAATTGCACTTGGTGAACTCTCTTGTTTAAGAAAGAAAAACAGGTAAGACTAGGAAAGAGATCAGGGACATATTCTGGAGGGCCTTATTCTGGAGAGTCTCAGGCTTACCAGGATTGTACTTCTGATGGGTAGTGGGGAGCCATTGAAAGTTGTGGTCAGAACAAGGCAACCAGTTGAAAGCTGCTGTGCAAAAGAATAACATGATCAAAGATTTTCTCTAGAAGAACAAGAGAGTTTGTTGTGAATAACTTATGGCGCACTGCAAATACTTAGATTTAACCTTAGATGGAAAGTCAGTAGTAATAATGATGACACAATGGTTTTTAGTTGATTAAACCTATTACTAACACCTCCCTTCTTTTTCCCTGACAGTCGGATATGTTACGGTCACTGTCTAACACAAAGCCCACAGTCAATGAACATGACTTGTTGAAATTGAAGAAGTTTACAGAAGATTTTGGCCAAGAAGGCTAAACCAAAGATAACAAGGAGGACGTTTACCATGTGTGTTCTTTCCTTCGTAGGTACTTTTGCCTTTCTTAATGGCATTCAGATTGTTTCCAGTAAAACTCTTTTACCACAGGAAAATACAGATCTCACTCCAGAGTCCCTTTAATTTTATATGTACCTTTGCTCCATTACCAGTTAAATGCTCCTGTTAACAAAAATGATAAAATAATGGATTATAAGGAGATCGGTGATACATGAATGGCAAAAAATAGGAATTGCCCAGTTAAGAAGAGGATTAAAATTGATTGAGATACCAATATTTAGGATGGGTGGTCTTTACAAAGAGCATGTATTCTTTATTTTCTCTCTCTCTCTCTTTTTTTTTTTACCAGAATGTAATAGGGCTTATTTTATATTTTGAAAAAAAAATTCTTAAGCATCATTTGCTTCAATGTAAAATTTATTTACTTTATTAAATGATAGAATCTTTATTCTCAGGGATGGGCAATACTAGCAAAGAGCACTGTGATTGGGCTTGAAAGATTTTGAATTGTGTTCTAGCCGGGTCTCATTAAGTTTTGATAGGCTGATATTTTTCTTTGTGTAGATTTCAGTAATTTCTTTAAAAACAATGGGCTTCTATATTTAATTAAATAATACCTTTCACTGTGCAGTCTCAAAAGAAAGACTTTCTAAATTAGGCATTGTCTTTATCTTGAAGAAGAAAATTGTCTATTTCAGTGTCTTTTTGTAGCAAGATTGACCAAAACAGATGGCAAATAAATACATACTTTTTAAATAACTCTGTCATGAAATGCTATAATGGGAACCTTTGCTAAAAGGAATGGCCTCCCTTTGAATTGTGGCAAGTTTCTTGTGGGTGTGTGTGTACATATATATATAATTTTTTTTTTTTTAATATAGGCTACCAAGGGTTTTATCTTTTACCTTTTAAGTTCAGGGAATAGTTTGTCTTGGCCACACATATGTTATCAGTATAATGCTTGTGAAGCTTTAGAAATGAACTAATGTCTCATTAAATAATAAAATACAAACATGATACGTTATTTTAATATCTTCAAATAAATAATCTGAGGGTGTATGTTATAGACACTTTAGCATCAACACTAAGTTGTGCCTTGTGCATTTGCATTGGCTATATATGCAAAAGGATTATTACATTAGCTGGAATGAGATAGGTTCCTTAATTACTGTAAAGTTCTACCTTGCAAATGCTATAGAGTAACTCGCATTTTAAAGTATATTTGCACATTTTACATATAATGCTTTCTGGTTGCCTTTGGGTTTTCTGTACAGATTGTTTTTGTTGATACTAAATGGAAATCATAGGCCTGAAATAAGCTGTTCTTATGTGAAGTAAATTGACATAACCTACTATTGGCTATATTCTGTGTATGCTTCTTTATTTTGGGATCTCCTTCCTGTATGGAAGAAAATAGTATCTGAATGGATTACGTACAAAGAAATCATTAGAAATTATTAAGTAAGAATGTATCCCTGAAAACTCCATTCTTCAGCAACTTTTATGTGAGAGTTTGGAATTAATTTGGCAGAGTAATGTAATTCTTTGTGGCTGCCTTGTAAGATAATTTATATTCTTTATCAGCCTTGGAATTATATAGTGTTGCTATTAATTATATTAGGAGAATTCACATAACTATGTTATTATAATTAATAGTTGAAATCAAAATTTTTTGTAAGTCTAGAATTTGTTTTGAGGAAGTATTTTAAATAATTTGATAAAATACATGACCCAATGGTATAGAAGTATAGTGTTGATGATAAATGGGTACTTTATCACACTTGATTCCCACATGGGCTTTGAGAACTATATCTCAGTACTCATATCACTTCTGGCCATAGCTCCATTTTCTGCATTGCATCTTCTACATTTTTAACATTTCTGGTTCTAAACCTATTTCTGGAGTCAAGTAATTTTAGACTTATTCTAGAATGGTAGCACATAGGCCATTTCCCCTGAGTTCCTTGTGGACAGATTACTCAGGCTGTGTCTGAACCTTGACCATTATGAAATTTTGGGTAGATGGTTTCTGAGGCTACTTGAGTACCTCTATGAGCCACACCCTAGATGTTAAAGAACATTCTTTTTCGCAGCCTGAAAATTACAGGGGTCTTAGTAAAAAGAGTTTCAGTAGAAAAGTCACTTTTGAGTTCACTGTCATCTACATGCAGAAAAACAATGAGTATGTATATTTGATTATTAATATGAAGTCCCATTTACCTGCTGGCATGGTTGAGAAATTGAGACACAGCTCCTTAACCTTGTAGCCATAAATGTTGCTCGACGCTGTTGCAAATGAAGCGACAGTGAATGCCCAGCATGGACACCGAATTTATCTCAACTTTAGGAGCTCTCTTAGATGTCACGTCATTTCCTACCTCTGTACCTTCTTTATGTCAATTTTGTTCCTCGCACATAGAGTCCTTTCTTCTTTGCTGGTCCAAATCCCATTATCTCTATTAAGACCTAGCTCATGACGTGTATAATCTCTTGAAGGAGCGTTCCTAAACTCTCCCCATCCTACCTTTGGATTCCATTAGTAATACATTGCTACTCCTATCTTAAAATCTTTATCCAAATTGCAAGCACATTCTGTTAATCTTGTTTAGATCATTTACACTGTAAGCTCTTCAAAGCAATATTACATTTTCTCCTGCGGCTGGCACAGTGTGTGACCTCTCTTATTAGGTACTTGCTGAAGGCTCGAGAAATCAGGGCGTCAAGTCCTTATCTACTTCCTGGATTATCTGTGAGACTTTTTATAAAATAGAGAATTTGAAGTGACTTTGTTCTTGCTGGTCTAGTGAAAGGATAAATTTCAGTCTTGGTTACCAGGGACTGAAGGCCGAGGTACGCCAGCACTGGCTCGTGTCAGCTTACGAGGACCAGTGCACATGTCTCCCCACCTGGGAGGTCCGGGAGCTCATGCCGGGAGCTTGAAATCTGCCGTGGCAAGAGGTGTCAGAGGTCAAGTTTCCGTTCACGTGACGCCACACAAAACACAGCGTGTCCGTAATTTAAACGGAAAAACTAATTTATTGCATTTGTAAAAACAAAATACAGAAGTTACATGTGTAGAGTCCTAAAAAGCATGTGATAAAATCCAGTACCCATGTATGATTTGTTTTAAAAACGTCACACACTAGGAACAGAAGGGAGCTTCTTAGTTTAAGAAAGGGCATCTACCAAGAAGAAAAAAGCGCTATAGCAGGCACCATACTTAATTGTGAATTTTTGAAAACTTTATCCCCCAGAGATCAGGAAAAAGATACTGGAGCCTGCTATCACCACTTCTTTTCAACTTTGGACAGGAGAGTCTAAGTTTAGGGATTAAAAACAAAGAAACAAAATTGTCCTTCGCAGGGAACATCGTATATGTAGCACATCCAAATTAATATAAACTCCGAATTTGAATTTAACAAGATGATAGGATGCAGAGTTAATAAAATCATGGTATTTATCTGAGCAACAATCAGGAACTGAAGTTAGGAAAATAGTACCAATTGTAATAGCATCAGAAAGCACCCACTGCCTCAAAATAAATCTGAAAGATGTGCAGACCTTCCCATAGAAAGCGAGGACACATTATAAACGGAAGCTCAAGAATTAACTACCTGAGTCAGTGGAGAGATGGGTCCTGTTCGTGACTTGGAAGCCTGTGACCAAAATATCAGTTCTAACCCAGTTGATACTAGACTTTAGTTAATCCCAAATCTGGATCTGGGTGATATGTAGATCTGTCTGTGTTATCTACGTATATATTATCTATCTCTCTAAAAAATAGATCCTTGATGAATTCATTGATGATTTAAAATTTTTGTAGTTTGAACCCATTTTTTATAACAGTATATTTCTCCTAGCTGTATCTGTCCATATAAACATTCATCCAGATATCTGTACGTACACAGAGAAACATAACAAATTATTTTCACCTTGTGTTCGTTATCTTATTTGTGGGTAGTGAGATTTTGGTTGATTTTTAAAATTTTCTCTACCTCTTTCATTTCCTATTTTCAGATGTCACCTTTTCAGTGAGGCAGTCCCTGCTCATCCTGTTGAAACTTGCAATCCCTCCTGACGTTCCTTATACCCATTCCCTGCCTTTATTTTCCTCTGTAGCACTTACCATGTAACATATTGTATAGTGTACTGTTTTCCTTATTTGTAATTTCTCCTACTAACATGTATGTTCTGTGAGAGCTGGGATTTTGTCTTTTTTTTTTTTTTTTTTTTTTTTCCTTTGCTCTATTTCAATATCTGGAACAGTGCCTGGTGCCTGGTGGGTGCTCAATAAATATTTATTGAGTGAATGAATCTTTGGATTTTTTTCTAAGTTTTACTACTTTACAGTGTTTATAATTTTTGCCCCCCCCCCCCATTTTCACCTTTAAAAAAATTAAGAATGAAAATAGATACATCAAGAAATTAACAGTGGCTAAATTTGGGTGGTAGAAATATGGATACTTGTTAGTTTTTTTCTTTGTTTTCATTTTTATTTAAATTTCCCAGGGCACCTAGGTGGCTCAGTCAGGAGTCCAACTTGATTTCAGCTCAGGTCATGATCTCCAGGTTCCTGAGAATCAGGTGCCGCTTGGGGCTTTACGCTGACAGCATGGAGCCTACTTGGGATTCTCTCTTTCTCTCTCTCTCTCTTCTCTCTCTCTCTCAAAATAAATAAACATTTAAAAAAGAGGAGTTTGGGGGCACCTGGATGGCTCAGTCGGTTAAGCTTCTGACTTCGGCTCAGATCATGATCTCACGGTCCGTGAGTTCGAGCCCCGCATCGGGCTCTATGCTGACAGCTCAGAGCCTGGAGCCTGCCTCAGATTCTTTGTCTCCCTCTCTCTCTGACCCTCCCCTGTTCATGCTTTGTCTCTCTCTGTCTCAAAAATAAATAAAACATTAACAATTAAAAAAAAATAAAAATAAGAGAAGTTTTAGTTTCCCAAAATAAGTACAAGTTTTTAATTAAGAGTTACAGTGGGGGGGGGGGGGGGGGGTGCGTTGATGGCTCGCTTGGTTAAGAGCCTAGAGCCCGCTTCGGATTCTGTGTCTCCCTCTCTCTCTGCCCCTTCCCCCGCTCATGCTCTGTCTTTCTCAAAAAATAAACTTAAAAAAACCAACAACAAGGTACCGTTAGGCTGACACCTGATCACAGGCATTTGTCTCCCCCTTGGGAACCCTATGAAACAACAGAACAGGTTTTAAGAGAGAGAAAGAGAGAAACAGGACAACATACTCCTCAAACAAATGTACTTTGGAGGAGTGCTGTTCATCCAAACTGCCTTCCTGGTTTTGGGAATGCCCCTGGCCGCCTGCTGCAGAAACCACAGTGGGGACATCCTGTTTTTCTTCATCGTCTGGCAGG